GACACCGGCTGGTGAGGCTCGCCCCGGAAATTTCGACACGAGCGCGGTACAGCAAAGCAGATGGTGACTCTTTGTGGTCCAAACCGGTCATGTGGCTACTATACAGCTCGCACGGGAAAGCACAGTCACCGGAGGCTGGCGCACAACTCGCTGTCTGCTGAAAGTGTTGGAAGCTGTTGCTAGGCTTCATTCCAAGCACTCACGGACGAACGACCTTGCTGCGCCATGACAATGAACCTGCACACAGACCCCATGTCGTCGACAATTTTATGGTTAGAGAACGCATCCAGGTTGGTCACCCACCCTACAGTCCAGATCTGACTCCGTGTATATTTTTGTTCCCAAATGTCAAACGCATATATGTGGAATCCGATGCGAGTCAGTAACAACTGCAGTGGAGGTTTTCATTTTGAGTGATCGAAGGGTTACCCGCTTCGGCATGATCGAGCTGTTTCACTAAATGGTTTGAGCTCATGGAACTGTGCATGAATGCTGGTGGACAGTACAGAAGATGCAATGCTTACTTTTGCGTAGAGAATAAAACTTGAGCCTCTGAAAATTTTTTGCTCAGCCCTCGTAGTACAGGTAGTGTAGAGGCGGAAAGCAACGGCTGTTTATTGAAAAATCAATTATATATATATATATATTTGTGTCAAATACGGTAATTAGTTAAAACAAATCACTCCTGGTTTCTGTATGTTATTGTTGATTTCATGCTTGACGCACCTTGTTTTAACACCAATTCCAAAAGGTTGCTACACAGCCTGTTTTCTGACTTGGCACATTCGTTTAAATGGGAAACACATATTTAAACGAATATCAAGACACTAGGCCCAAACAAAACGAAGCCGAGATATTTTGGAATTACAGTTTAATTCTGGAGTCAGTTTTTACATCGTTAGTACTGGAATGTTCGTATTTAAATGAGAAAAATGTTAATCTTGAACAGATAACCAAACACTGGGCAAGTGTGAAATAAAAGGATAGATGCGGTGATGAGATCACCAATCCATACGTTCCTGGCTGATTCGATTAAATCTGACCAGTTATTGTATCGATTCATCTTTTCTGTTGATTTTTAGAAATACCCTTTTACATATTTTCTAACCAGTTACCTTTGCTTATGAGTCGATGGCTTTATTACGTTTCACTCTAATCGCCTGACTTTTCCATTTGTTTTACAGACATCCGAGATATCTCGTGATGGTCGACGCTTTTACTCTGAAGAATCTCCGGAAATCCTGACGAAAGTCGACCATTTGCTGATGCGCTTCACTCACTCACAAGCCTTGTCTGCCGTCACCCGATCTCGTATGCGGGTAAAGAGCGCTCGAAGGGTCGTCTACATGCAGCCTAAAATATTACTGCGGTTAGCTATCGGTGTGATACGTGAACTGACTCGTCGGGACACATTATCTGCAGCCGTTGCCGGTCGAACAGTTCCACAAATTGTTCGATTACTTCGATTTGTTCGTCGCAATGTGTGGCGAAAGGAGTCAGCGGCCACTTGTTTGGCTCTTTATCATTCTATCCTCGGTGAGTTTGTTTTTCCTTTCATTTGCGTGTAAACTGTTCGACTCAGCCTGTGACCAACTTGAATTCCTTGAAGTGTTACCCTTGTTTTTGTTCGTGTTTTGTATCTTGTATCATTTATATTGTATTGTATTGTGTTGAAGCTTTAGCGAGTTATATACAAGCTTTCATCCAAAGTGAGACCACTGTCGCACTACTAGCAAAAAATTGGGATGTGCACAGATGCGAATTAACTACTGAATGCATTTGAGAGTGCAGTTCTTCAGGAGTTTCTTAGCGAAGTCCTACGCTACGCTGTTTCTTGTGGTGACGGTGCTTTCTATCAAGGTAAAATGCCAAAAGGTCGATCTCCCGGACGGTAACCAGGCCGTCGCCTACTAGGCCCACGAAGGGAGTAGACAAACTTTATCTTCAAACTATTCGTAATAAGGCTTACCAATTGGGCCCAGTCTTCTGGTTCGAACCCCGCTACCGTGTGTGAAAATATAATATAATACCGCCAATCATCGTCGTTGGGGGGGGGGG